TAATGTGACCACAGACCCACATCTGATGTTTATTTTCTGTTTCTCAGAGACAGAACCCTCCTGAACATCTTCCAGGTTCTGTTCTTTGTTTTTATGACCTGCTGGTCCGTTTGTTTGTCCATGAAGCCGACAAACGGCTGCTGCAGGCTGAAGGTAGAAACTCTGATCCTGCTGCTCTCCTTTCTTTATTCTGTGTTTGATCCGCTTCACTGCTGCTAAACTGCATTTTATTGTCTAAGTTCTTGTTTTGTGTTCAGGAACAATCAGATGGAATCAAGCCTCAGATCTAATCTAAGCAAACAGGAAGTGAAAGACCAGCTCCCAGAGTTTTGACCTGCATTTACTCACACGACTGCCAGAGGTCGCCGACGTCGTTTGTTTAACCGGCTTTGACTGAAAAACCAGAACATGAACAAATCTGTTTCAGTTAATGACACAAATGTGGCTGTAGCCTGATTCTGGATAAATGATGAACCTGTTAATGAGCAGAATGTGGACCTTTAATTAAAATGCTTTGAATCGTTATAGTTTCTACATAATTCATGCTGCTGAGCTCCATGTAAACCCAGCTCATCACCAAACATGTTTACTGTGTTTCTGTGGGAACTTTTTGTTTCTAAAATTAAACACAGACGTTTGTTTCCCACAAAAACCTTCAGTCAGCTCAGAGTTCAGGACTTCAGGGAGCTGCTGCCTCTCAGAAACAGGAAAGCAGCTCCCTGACGTCCGGTGATCTCGTAACTGTCAGACGAAGCTGATTCACAGCTCCGGCACTGATCAGGCATCTTCTCCTTCTAACAGAGTGGAGCTGCAGTAACTGGAGACGTGCACATGGATGCACCAAAGTACCAACAACCTGCATGTTCAGGCAGCAAAGCCTTGAAATCCTGGATAATAACACATTGACACGTCAGAAACCTGGAGATGAACACGCAAACATGTCCAGACCCTGAACATTAAAGCACCACATTATTAAAAACCTGCAGACGTACAGTTTCCTTCAGCAGATGTTTTAATCCAAAGCGACGTCCATCTGAGAGCAGATACGACACCAGCAAGGACCTGTCAGGAGAAGACAACCTGGATCAGAACCACAGAACAGGTTCAGTGTGACAGGGTTCTGATGCCAGCAGCAGGCGGTAGGGAGGGAGCAGGAGGATTGTTTTTGTTTGTTTGTTTGTTTGTTTGTTTCCAGGCTGTTGAGTGAAGAGCTGCTCTTCAGTCTGTTCTTACAGACTGAGAGGGAGTCAGCAGATGGACCAGTTTGGTAACTGGTTCCACCACCAGAACCACAGAGGAGGAGAGTCCAGCTACCGACCTGGGCCTGTTGTGGTCGTTGGACCAGGAGGTTCTGGTTGGTCCAGTTAGTGAGCAGAGGGAGTGTAGACCTGAAGGAGAGAGTTCAGGCAGGAGGAGATGTTCTCTCTGTGGTTCTGCTTCAGTGTCAGAGTTTGGATCTGAAGCAGCTGGAAGCCAGTGACCGATCAGAACAGTCCATGAGCTGTTCTTGGCTGGTTGAACACCAGACGGGCTGCTGGTGGGGCGGCCGTGGCTCAGGTGGTCGAGCAGGTTGTCCTCTAATCACAAGGTTGGTGGTTTGATCCCCTCCACAGTCTGTCCTTGGGCAAGACACTGAACCTGAAGTTGCTCCTGATGGCGGGCAGCAGCTTGATGGAGCTCTGTCACCGCTGGTGTGTGAATGTGATCTGCTCTCAGATGTACGTCGCTTTGGATGAAAGCGTCTGAATTCTGAATCATCTGCAGAGGTTTGAGCGTGGATGTGGGGAGGCCTGCCAGTGAGGAGCTGCAGCAGGCAGCGCGTGACACAAGACATAAAGACGATATGAGCTGATCTGTCTTCCTCCTGTTCCCACCTGTTCAGGTGAAGAAGCAGCAGCAGGCCGTGGTGGGCTTCCTGGAGGCCAACAGGATCAGTTTCCAGGAGGTGGACATCACCATGCAGGAGGACCAGAGGCTCTGGATGTACAGAAACATCCCCAGAAACAAGCAGCCGGAGAAGGGAAACCCGCTGCCGCCACAGATCTTCAACCAGGACCAGTACTGTGGGGTGAGGAGGATGTAGAACTCCTGATGGTGCTGGTACCGCCTCCCTGAAGGACGTCATTTTGTCATTTTGATTCACTTCGTTCTGTGTTTCTAGAGCCTGGAGAGGAGTTCCTTATCCAGACTGCAGTCATGAACTAAAGTTTCCGTTCACTTCTAAAGTCCATGTCAGTCACATCAGTGTTTCGTTTCCAGTGAATCCTAGAACTTTCCTCCCATGGACTCATTTAAAAACAGGCATTTTTGTCACAAGAACCAATCATGCATTTTGTTTTTAGCATAGATTTATTTAAAGTCTTCTGGAAATATGACAAANCACAGCTGGACTCAGTTTGGTTCTTTGAGTTTCTACATTGGAGCCTGAATTTTAAATGTAATCTTTGTAAAGCAGATTGAAGTGATAATAAAGTGGCTGCATGACGTCTGCTGATCCTGTGAATGTGTCGTCCTGCTGCTCTGTGGAGGCTTTCTCACAGCTTCTGTCATGTTGTGGAGACACAGTGTGTGTGTTGTTAGGCTGAAGGTTAACAGATGAAGTTTCACAACAACCAGCTGATCCTTCATGTGTCCATAAATCACAGCTAATGTGATAAACTTCGTGTGTTTCTCTGAATGTCGGGTGTTTTAGAAACGTGCCGGCTCTGACTGACACTAAATGAAGCCTGCTCGTCTCATCCTGTCTTTAATGATTGATCCAAAGTCAACATGTTTGCAGTCCAAGTCCAGGACGTGGCTTTGATTCCTGCTGATCTCCTCATGAGGCTTCTGCTGTTTGGATATTTACCATATGATCGAGTTTGATTTTAAATTCTAAGTTTTTGTTGAAAGTTTCAGAGTTTTGGATTTATGAGGTAAGAGGGTTAAAAATACGGATTACTTCCAAAACCCGACAGTTTTTCTGAGCGTTCTGAGAGCTAAAGTCCGTTTCTCGTTGTTTGTGTTTTGTTTCCAGCCTCTGAAGAAACAACATGATCTTTATTTCTGCTCTTCAGCTGATAATCGGTGAGTCCTTGTCAGAGCACAGTGACAGGCAGCATTTTACTCAGAATGATGGAACTTAGTCACTGAAAATGTTTTAGTTTGATAAATTACAGCTCTGAGTGTTGAGCATTCATTTATATTCCTGACAAACCTCGACATGAAGTTAAACATCACAGTCTGTTGTCATCATTTGACTGATATGTTTGTGTCAATCTGTAAAATAAAATAGAAGTAAAGCTGTGATGTGAATGTTTCCCTGTTTGTGCTGCAGGTCTGCTGAGCCTGCTGCTGCTCTCAGGTCAGTGGCTTCCACTCACTTCTATTCACAGAATCAGGGCCCAGTTGGTCCAAACGTTCAATCTGAAACACGTGTTTTCAATCGTAAAAAGGCAAAAATTCTGGTTCTGACCAACCACCATCACACATGCTGATATGAGCCTGGAACGTTTACCCAGAAGTCACTTTGTAAAGGTTCCTCTGGTGACTGATCAGAACCAGAACCACATCCAGGGTACCACTGATTGTTTCT